TCAATAATTTTCGAACGTTTTGCTTTTATGTGGCAAGCACAATAAAAATACCGAGTTTGATACAAATTTGTAGAACGGTTACCGATATATGTACATATATGTGATCATAAGTGGGCGGTGCCACGCCCATTTTCCAAAATTTTACCATAAACGTATTCTTGGTAAAGAATTGTTGCAAGCGTCAATTTTGAATAAATTAGCTTTAATATTTACTGATTTATCGAAGATTTCGTATTTCTCTAAATTACCCTGTGGACTGTGGGCGTGGTTATTGTCCGATTTTAAAAATTTTCGGCTGTACCAAGGCCAACAACCGTGCGAAGTTTGGATGAAATCGGTGCAGCGGTTGCCAAGATATACACATGTAACCATAAGTGGGCGTGGCTACGCCCATTTTCCAAAAATGTATAATATTCTTGTTTTTCGTCTAAAAATTGTTGTAAGTATCAATTTTGAGTGAATAATCTTCAGTAGTTACTAAAATATCGCAGTTTTCGTATTTCCGAAAATTACCGTTATATGGGATGTGGGCGTGGTTATTGTCCGATTTTTTAAATTTTCGGCCATTTAGTATGCTGTATCAAGACCAACAACTGTGCCAAGTTTGGAACAAATTGGTGCAGCGGTTACCAAAATATACACATGTAACCAGAAGTGGGCGTGGCTACGCCCAATTTCCAAAAATTTATAATATTCTTATTTTTCGTCTGAAAATTATTGTAAATATAAATTTTGAGTGAATTGTCTTCAGTAGTTACTAAAATATCGCAGTTTTCGTATTTCTGGAAATTACCGTTATATGGGAAGTGGGCGTGGTTACAGTCCGATTCGCCCATTTTCAATACCAACCTACCTTGGATTAACGGAAACCTACATACAAAATTTTGTTGAGATATCTCAATTTTTGCTCGAGTTATCGTGTACACGGACTTACGGACAGACGGACATGGCTTAATCGATTTTTCTATTCATTCTGAGCATTTATGTATACATTTGTCTATATCTATCTCGATTCGTTTCGGCTGTTACAAACAACCGTTATGTGAACAAAATTAATATACCCTTGTGCACAAGTGCGCTCGGGTATAAATATTCAGGCAGGTTCTGCAATTCGCTTCCCAGTGAATTTCAACCACTGCCAATTTGAATTCAAAGCGGATTTTATTGAAATTCACTCGGAAGTGAAGTGAAGTGCAGAACCTGCCTGATTGTATATGTACCAGATTTTGTATTTACATATAAGGTTCATAAGGTTGAAAAATGGAAAATTAAACAAATGATCGCGTATAATTTCTTAATACAATGTAAATAATTCATGACATCCGCGTCTGTCGTTGTCAAGTGGTTAGAGGTGCATACCGGCACTCGGCAAGATCCTGGTTCGATTCCTGATCCGAAGAGAGGAGATTTCAACGTGAACGGACGTGTATTGTATTGATCTGCAATAATTTGATTAATATTTTAAACTCTCATACATGTTTAAATTCGGCTGATGGTTTTACGAGACAGTGACTCCATACCAGCAAATAAATAAGTTTATAAACAAGTGATAAAGATTAATTTCAAAAGAGTTGAACTATAAATTATAATTTTTCTATTTTAACTTTCTTTTGCACGAAATACATGAAACGGCGAAGGATGATTTAATAAAGAGGGTACAACACTTGTGTGAGTATCTACTTTGAGAAATTAGCTGAAGGTTTGTCTAAGCACGGAGAGGAGATAGGTAATAAAATGGATCAGTTGTTATTAGGGCAAACGACAGTTCAGAGAAAGTTTTTTTTTATAACAAAACGTTTTTAAGATTCGATATTTCTTTCGTTTTTTTCTTTTTATCTATTTTATTTTATTTTTCTATTTTATCAAAACAAAGTTGTTGCAAGCTGCACGCAGCAATTTAAATTCATTAAATTTGAAAACTCACAACTGCCTCCACCGCGATTTGAATTCGGGACCAACGATGCTTGAGTTGGAGGTCGTCTCGCTGAACTACTTTCGTATTGTACGAGTAGTGACCATTCGTACATTTACACCGCAAGTTTCAACTGTCGCGCTCTGCATCCATTTTGCACTAGTTCAGAGATTGTTCTGATATATGTAGCTCGGAACTAGCGCTTTGTCAGACTGTCTCTAAATTTTACTGCAGGGGATATACATATGTACATGTACTATGTATGCAAGAATGATAGAACACAAGATTGCGCCGATTGCAGCAGAATTCGTGAGAGTAATTTTGGCATGACGTCACCGTAGAGTTGACAACTGAGAGCGGCAAATAAAACTGCTGTCTAGTGATGTGCTGAATTGTCGGTACCCAATGCTTAAAAAAGGTTTCGGTACCTAATACTTCCTTATCGGTACCCGATACTGATTATTTACATTAAACCTTCGCCATTATATGCATTTCAAGTTTAGAAAAAACTTTCATTACTAATTTATATGATATCAGCTAAAATACTTGAACTTATCGCAACAGAGAAATATTATTTTATCAGTTTTAACCCTAGTCGATCCAAGGTTCAAGAAAAATCTTTTGACGGATGAAGAAGCCTTTCAGGGAGCGGAGATTCTGTAACCAGTTAGCGTCTGCCTACAAAAATGATATCGTCCGATTCATCTGTAACAAAAATGCTTCAAACAAGTAAGAGTTTATCTGTATTCCCAGCAAACACAGTCTCTAACGTTAGAGAAATTTGGATTTCTACATTAGATAACTAGGGTATTTTTCTAATCGTTCTCGAGTCGATGACGAAATTAGAGAACTACATTAGAATTCGATTCGAGAACGATTAGAGAAACAACGAAAATTCAAATAAGTGTAAATAAGCAATATTCCAAATGAATGAATCATAATTTTTTTTTAAGTTCAAATAATTCATTATTATTTTATTGCAAATACATTTAATAAAAATTTTACAAACAAAGCGTTTTATTTAATAAAGCAAAATAGCAGTTTGAAATTCAAATTCGAGTCCCATTAGAGATCAACATTAGAATTCGATTAGAGAATTTATATTTTCTCGAGTCGAGAACTATGTCCCATTTTTGTTGAGATTGATATGATTCTCGATAGTTTTTCGATTGGAGAATGTGGCTAGTTCTCCAATCATTATCTAATCGATAACTAACCTCAATGTTTGCTGGGTTATGGCCTCAAACTGACATATATACATCTTTCATTTGAATCACTATTAAAAGCTTTATTGGCTCCTACATTCAGGTTTTGATAGGCGAGTCTCCCCTGAACCGTTTTTTCCATATTTTTAGCCTATTTGCGCTTTTATTCGAAACCTAAATGTTTCGGTACCGAGTATCGAGAGTATTGGATACTTAAAAGTATTGACTCAGCACCAGGGTTGCCACTTTGGTAAATTATTACCAAATTTGGTAGTCAAAATGTGGGTTGGTAAAAAGGTAAATTTGTTTTCATTTTGGTAGATTTTTGTTAAAGTAATTTTTGTGCACTTTAAAACTGTTCGTTCTGTAGTTATCTAAAAAATCCACCCGAAAATTTTTTAATCCGCCCATAGTAAATACATGGAAACCAAAAAGTCTGATAATAAATTTCTTTCTATAAGTATAGTTCATTTAATTCCATTAATTTGCAAACGCTTTATATTGTGACCAGTTCAAAACTCATTTTACTCGAATCCTGAGGAGCTCTTGATTGCCTAAATATTTTAAATGATTCTTTAAATAAAATTAAAAAAGAAAAAACTCCAAAGGCCGGTGGCAAAAGAAAATTTTAAATCAACGGGAATTTTTCAATGGGTAATAAAACTGTTTACCCAAAAATTTTCTAAAAATTTTGAGAAAATAGCAAATTTGTTGAACTCTTCTAAATTATAGCTTTAATCCTTGACTTTTATGATTTTACTTAAAATGTAAACAATACTCTTTTCCAAAAAAATAAATAAAATAAAAAAATTACTTGAAAAACATTTTGAATATTAAGAAAATAAAAAGCGTTTTTTTTTTATTCAAGAAAATTTGATTTTTATTGAAATAACTCAAAAAAAGAACAAATCTATAGTTTTTACTAAAATAACTTAAAAAAAGTTATTGGTAGATACTTTCCAGATTTGGTAGATTTTTTCAAAGTAAATGGTAAGTATTTTTGTTCGGCAGTGGCAACTCTGCTCAGCACATCACTACTGCTGTCATCTCGACTGTGACGGCAGCAAAACAGCTGATTCTGTCAAATTCACTGAGAGCCGATTAGCGGTATTGCCATCGGCGCCACCTTCTGTATTCTCTCCACCGTGATATAAATCCAGATCTCAAACTTTGTGCAAAAATTATGAAAAATCTGCAAATTTTCAACTTTTTATTCAGATTTTTTAGAATTTTTTTGAGTATGCAGTTTAATAACCCATTAAATTGTAGTGTAATAATGTACAAGTCTTAAGTTGCTAAAAAATCGCGTTGATTTTCAATAATTTTTTTCTGACTGCATCACAAATTTTTTTCCATACAAAATAAGTTCGACAATTTTTTTTTTTATGGAAAAAAAGTTGAAAATCTAGCACAAAGTTTGAAATCTGGATTTATGTGGTGTTTGTTATATAATGAGCTAGACTTTTATGGAAAAATAATAAACATTAAATAAACAAAAGAAAAATAGCCAAAAATCGATCAAAATATTGCTGGCTTAACTAGCTGATCACAAGTGTATGTGCTGCGGTCGCTTAAACCATTAACGGGTTAAGTGGGGCAATTCGATATCAACTACTCACTGTTAATACATGCGTGTGCGAGTTGAACGCAGTAACGAAATAATGCTAGTGTGCCAGTTGTGTGTAGCGAGCGAAGTGAACAACATTTCAGAACCGAGTGATTTTTTTTAAGGTCTGACTCATTCTTGTTGTTTGTTTGTTGTTATTGCAAAATTTAGTTACCCGTTTGTGAATGTATGAAATTGTAGGGCTATTATGTAACAACGACTTTGTATTCGGTGAAGAAGAAAACTTTAATTCTTTATTTTATTCCATTTGTTGCAGGCGCAGACGGAAAAGACGGAAAAACTTTTGACAAGCCAGGTGGTGGCTATCAGCTTAATCACTAACACACTGAGCAGTATTAATTCAATTAAATAATAATAGCAAACCGCAACAAAAAGGTAAATACTTACATATGTATGTATGTATGTATAAACGATCTGGTGAGGTCATCAATCTACATACATATGTGGAATCCAAGTAGACTATGTGTGTATACAAATTGAGAAGAGTTGGTCATTTGTAATTTGGCCTTGAGAATGTTTGAGGAGTGGCCTCGTCCAGAAAATGGTTTAAATACAATATTACATTTATATATTACAACTTTATTGGTTTAACTTTGTCTACAAAAACCAATATGTAAATATGTAAATAATAGTGATTTAGAAACTCCAGACTCTTTTGTGAATAAGTTCGCGTAATATGACAACTTTAGGATTTAATAATGGTGTTCGTTTGAAAAAGTTTGCTAAGACCATGATAAAAATATAGTAAGGCTCTATCCAGAATTGCAGCGGACGAATGTAAAGCGAGCGGGTGCCACCCCCATTTTCCTAAAATTTCTTGAAAACCCATTTCTTTGCTAAAGAGCGATTGTATATGTATATCAATTTTGAATAAATATTGATGAATTCCTTAGTCACTCTTCTCAAATAGTCTGAAAGTCCGGTACATAGATAATATATAAATTCAAGGCCGTATTTAAGAAAAGTCGCCTAATTTCGACAATTTTTATGCGATTGCAATAACTGAGCTATCAGGTTATTTAAAAATAGATTTAACTTTAGTTAGTTCTACATATTTTGAAATTGTTGAAATTATCGATGGTCAAAATTTAAAAAATTAAGAAAAATATGGGTTTTTTTTTACCCGATACAAAATCCCAACAAGCCAAATCCGACAATAGATTATTATATACCATTTTAAAGACCTATATGTATATCCTCTTCTCAGATCATATTCGTCCTTTGAATTCGAATCAAAAATAGCCATTCAAAAACTCATAAATCTACAAAATCCTATTTTCTGACCTAAACCGACAGGTCGCGACCTCTAAATGACCTTTAAAAAATCTATAAAAATAGGAAATAATATTTATCATAAAAACAAATGAAATTAGAGGATAGGGTCCTTAAATTTCCAAAAAAAATATTTTCGATGGGCATCCTAATGTATATAGGGTATTCAAAAGACGTGTTAAGCGTCATATCTAATGTCTTAAAATCGTAAACTTTTGCAACGATAAATATCGGTAAACATTTTTTTAGGCGGTTTGTAACTACACATGTTTTTAAACTGAGCGAATTAGCTCTTCTTATACCCTGTGAAATGGTCAAGAATCACTTTAAGCGTTATTTTACATAAAAAAAAAAATTGTACAACTTAAATTATTTTTTGGCCGTAGCCGCTCTCCAAACGCTCTATAGGCCAAATGACGGCGACCTTTTGTCAGTGTATGTATATTTCGCCTTGTATATTTCTTTGAATTTTGCATTCTTACAACGGAATTATTATCTTTTTTTTGTAGAAATCTTACAAAATCGAAAAATTTTAATTTAAACGTATTACATAGCAACGACCGAAACGAGCATACGAAAAAATGGAGAATTTCACGCCCAAGGAGGTGAAAATTCTGGAAACAGTCGAGGACATTCAAGAGCGTCGAGAACAGGTGCTTACGCGGTATAATGAATTTAAGATCGAGACCCGCCAGAAGCGCGAGAAACTAGAAGATTCACGACGCTTTCAATACTTCAAGCGAGATGCGGACGAGCTAGAATCTTGGATTCATGAAAAGTTACAGGCCGCAAGCGAGGAGAGCTATCGCGATCCCACAAACTTGCAAGCGAAAATTCAAAAGCATCAAGCCTTCGAAGCGGAGGTCTCAGCTCATAGCAATGCTATTGTCTCACTTGACAACACAGGTCAAGAGATGATCAATCAACAGCATTTTGCTTCCGAAACGATTTTACGTCGATTGGATGAATTACACCGTTTGTGGGAGTTGCTGTTGAGTCGTCTAGCGGAGAAGGGCCAAAAATTGCAGCAAGCATTGGTTTTGGTGCAGTTTTTGCGACAATGCGAAGAAGTCATGTTTTGGATCAAGGACAAGGAGGCTTTCGTTACAGCAGATGAATTCGGCCAAGATTTGGAGCATGTGGAGGTTTTACAGCGTAAGTTTGACGAATTCCAAAAGGATATGGCTTCGCAGGAGTATCGTGTCATCGAAGTGAACCAGTTGGCCGACAAGCTGGTTCAAGACGGCCACCCAGAACGCGAAACAATAACCAAACGCAAGGAGGAATTGAACGAGGCTTGGCAGCGCCTCAAGCAGTTGGCAATTGTGCGCCAAGAAAAATTATTTGGTGCGCATGAAATTCAAAGATTCAATCGCGACGCCGATGAGACCGTTGCTTGGATCGCCGAAAAAGATGTTGTACTATCATCGGACGACTACGGCCGTGACTTGGCCAGTGTACAAGCTTTGCAGCGCAAACACGAGGGCGTGGAACGCGATCTAGCTGCCCTCGAGGATAAAGTATCCACCTTGGGCGCGGAGGCATTACGTCTTTGTTCAATTCATGCCGACCATAGCGACCAAATTCGCGACAAGCAGGCAGAAATTGCCAACTACTGGCAAAGCTTAACGGCGAAGGCTCGCGAGCGTAAGCAGAAGCTGGATGAGTCGTACTTCTTGCACCGTTTTTTGGCTGACTTCCGCGACTTAGTGTCATGGATAAATGGCATGAAGGCCATAATTTCCGCCGATGAGTTGGCCAAGGATGTAGCTGGAGCCGAGGCACTTTTGGAACGTCACCAGGAGCATAAGGGTGAGATCGATGCTCGCGAGGACAGCTTTAAATTGACTACCGAGTCGGGCCGCAAACTATTAGAGCGTGAACATTACGCTGCAGCTGAGATTCAAGAAAAATTGGCTGCATTAGAAAATGACAAAAGTTCATTGTTGTCTTTATGGGAAGATCGTCGCATCCTGTATGAGCAGTGTATGGATTTGCAGCTATTTTATCGCGATACCGAACAAGCAGACACATGGATGGCTAAGCAAGAGGCTTTTCTTGCCAATGAAGATCTTGGCGATTCCTTAGACTCTGTTGAGGCTTTGATAAAAAAGCACGAGGACTTTGAGAAGAGTCTCGCTGCGCAGGAAGAGAAAATCAAGGCACTTGATATATTCGCCACTAAGCTAATCGACGGTCAGCACTATGCTGCCGACGATGTGGCACAACGTCGTCAAATGCTGCTCGCACGACGGTCGGCGTTGCAAGAAAAGTCCGCACGGCGGCGACAGCTGTTGGAAGATTCCAATCGTTATCAGCAGTTTGAACGCGACTGCGACGAGACCAAAGGTTGGATCAGTGAGAAACTGAAGTTTGCCACCGATGACAGCTATTTGGACCCAACCAATTTGAATGGCAAAATGCAGAAACATCAAAACTTCGAACATGAACTCAACGCTAACAAATCCCGTATTGAGGACATCACAACAGTAGGTACTGAGCTGATCGAAAAGAAACATTACGCATCTGACCAGATTAACACACGCATGCAGGAGATTGTTGTATTATGGGAGACATTGGTGCAGGCTTCCGATAAAAAGGGCTGCAAACTACACGAGGCTTGTCAACAGCAACAATTCAATCGCACCATTGAAGACATAGAGCTGTGGCTAAGCGAAATCGAGGGCCAGCTGTTGTCCGAAGACCATGGCAAGGATTTGACATCGGTGCAAAATTTACAGAAAAAGCATGCACTGCTCGAGGCGGACGTCATGGCCCATCAGGACCGTATCGAGAGCATCAAAGTGGCTGCGAATAAATTCATCGAGTCTGGTCACTTTGATGCAGACAACATTCGGCACAAGGAAGCCAATTTGTCTGAGCGTTACGCTGCACTAGCTGCCCCGATGGCCGAGCGGAAGCAGCATTTATTGGATTCACTACAGGTACAGCAACTATTCCGCGACTTAGAAGACGAGGCGGCTTGGATACGCGAGAAAGAGCCCATCGCTGCTTCGACCAATCGCGGTAGGGACTTAATTGGCGTGCAAAACCTTATTAAAAAACATCAGGCTGTTTTGGCTGAGATCAACAATCACGAGCCCCGCTTACTTAATGTCATCAGTTCAGGTGAGAATATGCTGAAGGAGCAGCCATTTGCTAGCGAGGATATTCGCCAGCGCTTGGATGCATTGCAGGAACAGTGGAATACACTAAAGGACAAGTCAAATCAACGCAAACAAGATCTTGAAGACTCTCTCCAAGCACATCAGTATTTTGCTGACGCCAACGAGGCCGAGTCATGGATGCGTGAGAAGGAACCAATAGCTACCAGCAACGATTACGGCAAGGACGAAGACTCTGCCGAGGCATTACTGAAAAAGCACGAAGCACTAGTTTCTGATTTGGAAGCCTTCGGTAATACCATACAGGCATTGCAAGAACAAGCTAGAAACTGTCGGCAACAAGAAACGCCTGTCGTCGACATAACTGGCAAGGAATGTGTTGTGGCCCTTTACGACTATACTGAAAAATCACCACGTGAGGTTTCAATGAAGAAGGGTGATGTGCTGACGCTTCTCAACTCGAATAACAAAGACTGGTGGAAGGTTGAGGTGAACGATCGCCAAGGATTTGTGCCAGCTGCCTACATCAAAAAGATTGAAGCTGGTCTAAGTGCTAGTCAGCAGAATCTTGTGGATAATCACTCTATTGCTAAACGCCAGAATCAAATCAATTCCCAATACGATAATTTGCTAGCGCTGGCACGCGAACGTCAAAACAAATTGAACGAGACGGTAAAGGCATACGTCCTCGTTCGAGAAGCAGCCGATTTGGCCCACTGGATTAAGGACAAAGAAAATCACGCCCAAATCGCTGATGTTGTGGGTGAAGACCTTGAAGAAGTTGAAGTATTACAAAAGAAGTTCGATGATTTCAACGACGACTTGAAGGCCAACGAAGTGCGCTTAGCAAACATGAATGAAATCGCCGTTCAACTGACTTCTCTAGGCCAAACAGAGGCTGCCTTGAAGATCCAATCCCAAATGCAAGACTTGAATGACAAATGGAACAACCTGCAGCAGCTGACCGCCGAAAAGGCGAGCCAACTTGGATCTGCGCACGAAGTGCAGCGCTTCCATCGAGACATCGACGAAACGAAGGACTGGATCGCTGAAAAGGAGAATGCTCTAAACAATAATGACTTGGGCAAGGATTTGCGCAGCGTTCAAACTTTGCAGCGCAAACACGAGGGTGTTGAACGCGACCTGGCTGCATTGCGGGACAAAATACGGCAATTGGATGAAACTGCCAATCGCTTAATGCAATCACATCCTGACACCGCTGAGCAAACTTACGCCAAACAAAAGGAGATCAATGAGATGTGGGATCAAATTATTACGAAAGCAACTGCACGTAAAGAAAAACTTTTGGACTC